TCTATCATCTTTCTATCGACCTCTCTAAGTAATCCAAGACTACTGTAACAGAAAGTGGTTATTTACTTCTAATCGGCTTTAAGTATTTTGTTTTAAGATGGAGAGTGCAATGTGAAACAAAGGAAAATTAATAACTTCCCAAAAAAGGGAATTAAAATTTTAACAACTTTTATGCTCAAATAAGCAGCATAATTTCTTTCCTTCTGCTGCCATTGCTCAAACCCATTTAACCTGTTAACTTAAAATGATTATGTGATCCTATGGAATGTGACAAAAAGTTATTGTATCTGCTTGCATATAAAAAATTACATTATCTACTTGACTTTAAAAGGTTATTTAGCCTGCCTCAGTTTTTATTATTGGTTTGGTTAGTATTTTTGAGACAGTTTGGTCTGATGGTTAAGGCATCACATAGAAAGCATTGAGTTCTACTCCATGAAAGCCAGCTGGGTGACTTTAGGTCAATCACTCAGCCCAATATACCTCACAGTATGGTGTGAGGAAAATAGGAGGAGAAGCTTGTGTTGGATAAGTTTGCTGCTTTGAGTTATTTCTAAAAATAAAAGCCAGATACAAATAAAAAATATTTTGTATTATTGTTTGAAATAGTAGCTGTTTTATGAATGTCTGCTAAAATGAAAAGTAGTATTCCTTAAAATATTAACTAAAGAACTAATTTAAACTCTTCCATTGGCTGACACCAATATTGTACTGCAGTACTGCAGGCTACTTTAGCTGACTGCTAACTGTGGTTCAGCAGTTCAAATCTCACGGGCTCAAGGTTGACTCAGCCTTCCATCCGTCTGAGGTGGGTAAAATGAGGAGCCAGATTCAGCATAGTTCCCTCAACAGTCTGGCTCCTCGTTTTACCCACCTCAGAAGGATGGAAGAACTGCTTAGAGAGGGCTGTAAAAGCACTATGAAGCTTCATATAAGGCTAAGTGCTGTAGTGCTATTGCTGAGAATCCTGACTCAGTTTACAGTAAGACTTGTGCCAACACTCTTTGAAAGGAGCCCCACATGTAGCAAATGGTTGAAATTCAAATAACTCTCACCTATAATCCACCTGGGAAATTATTTTTTTCTTTAAAAAGATGTTAAGGAATAACGTAGTCTTCTCTAAGAAATAGACAAATAGTCCGAATGTGTACAGACATGGCTAGGCTTCTGCCCCTAAGGCAAACAAACATTTTTATTGTTCTGTGTGATCATTGTCTTGGTTCAGGATATCTATTGTAAGAAAAAGATCAAGCAAGCAAACATGCATCTTTAAGGAAAATATGCACACCTCAATTTCATGGGTATTATGTTTATTAGAAATATCCCTTGTATTTATTTATTTTCATGTTCTTCAAGAACCACTGCTGCAATGTAAGTTGACTAGATAGGTGGCATTGGTAAAAAAAATACTTTAAAATATGTGTGCATGACTTTTCATCACTGTGAAGCTTCAGATATCAAGTAATATCTTCCTGACGTGTGCTTACTGTCTTGCTTTCAGAAGAAAAACCGGACTGCTCTAAAGCCCGTTGTGAAGTGCAGTTTTCTCCACGCTGCCCAGAGGACTCAATTCTGATTGAAGGCTATGCTCCCCCTGGAGAATGCTGCCCTCTTCCAAGCCGCTGTGTCTGCAATCCTGCAGGATGTTTGAGGAAGGTCTGCCAACCCGGCTATTTGAATATATTGGTTTCCAAAGCGTCAGGAAAGCCAGGGGAATGCTGTGATTTCTATGAATGTAAACCAGGTAAGGTATACTCTTCTTTCCTGTTCTGTCCTGGTCAGTTTTGTCAAAGCTTATTTATAATTTAATATGTGTCTCTTCCTACTACTGAAACAAAAGACTCCCAGGCCCGTGATGGCAAACCTATGGCATGTGTGCCAGAGATGGCACACATAGCCTTTCTATGGGCATGTGCACCGTCGCCAGCTGATCTTCCACAACTCCAGAAACCCGAAGACCAGCTAGTTTATTCACATGCGCATGCCGGCCACCTGGTCCTTGGATTTGCAGTGCACACGTGCATACTGGCCAGCTGATCTGTACGTGCACTGGAGCGCCAGAAACCCAAAGAGCAGGTGGTTGGTGCACATATGCCAGCTGGTGTTCGGTTTTCTGGTGCATGTGCATGCATGCACACATTCCAGTTTGGGCACTCTGTGCCAAAAAGGTTCGTCACTGCTGTTCTAGGCCAACATTTCCATATAACATTGTTGCTTAAAACAAAAACCTTAATAATAAAGTTCCTGTCAATGAAATGAAGCAAATAGTTCAAAAATGGCTGGCCCTGAACTATGTCAGCATGACTATGTCGGAATTGTCAGTCTTGGAGAGGGTCCTGAGAAAGATGTCGGGGGAACCATATTGGAAGATCAGATGAGGTAGCAGACTATTAACCTGTGTGATGGCATATAAATTCATGAGATAGTCAGATGGTCTTTTTATCTTTTATTAGTTCAAAAAAAAAAGAGTGCAGTGAGCAGTGGTTGCAGTTGGCTTTGAGATCATTTTTAAAGCAATCTGCATCCATGAGTTAGTCAAATTGAAAAAAGAATCCAGCTACCTATTCTAGTTTTGTGTTAAGGTTACAGAGGGGTTTCCAATGCTCTTGCTAAATGATGAAGGCCCAGAAAAACTGATTAGAGGACTTTGTTCTAAACACAGCAACACAGTGTAATGACTTTATTATTTTATCACCCTTATCTGTATAATAAAAAATGCTGTCTGAAAATTGTACATGGCTAGGTTATGATAGTATTTTTTGTCTGAGAAGTATGTTCAACTGTTCGAAAATATATCATAGGTGTAACCACCGTTGCTTACATTCTGACCCTTTAACTAAATAAAATCTCACCATTAGAATTACATATTTTGGAAACTCAACAAAACTGAGGGGGGGGGAAGTAAATCACTGTGACATAGTAGTTGTGGTTAACACTACAAATTGCCATTGAGGAAAATCAAGTCCACTTCAGCCATACGGACTCATTAGGTGACTTTGGCTCAGTCACTGTGATGGTATGTAGTTAAGAAGTGGTTTCCCAGGAAGGAAGGTGTATATTCTAGAGAAGCAAAAGGCAACTCAGTCTGGTTGTTACATGTCAGAAAAGGAAGGTAAAGACAGCCCCTCCCTAATAGTTATGGAATGTATGGTAGGTGTAGATAGTAGAGCACTCAGTCTTGCAAGTTTTTGTCTATAGATATGAAACAGTTAAAGAATTCAGTTTGGAAGAATCTCCACATGTCATTTTTGCTTTGGAGTCTGACAATGACACTCTTTTCATTCAACCTATTCCACTGAGTTTTTGTTGTGGGAACAATAGGAAGGGGGAGTGCAGTGAATGCCACCTTGAACTCTTAGATAGGATATAAATTTAACAAATTAGGATCAGTGTAAGTATGATCTCAAGGAGGAAATGTTCTAGAGGGTAGGCACCATGATAGAAAAAGCTTTCATCCTTACACTCCCTCACAAAAAGCTTCCTGTGTATGCCTCTCCTACCAGATCTAATAAGTAACCCAGTCTCAAGCCATGAAAGGTTTTGAAGGTAACTACCTGCATTTTGTAGAGGGACGTGGTGGCTCAGTGACTAAGATGCTGAGGTTGTCGATTAAAAAGGTTGGTAGTTTGGCTATTCGAATCCCTAGCTCTGCTTAACAGAATGAGCTCCCGTTACTTGTCCCAGCATCTGCCAACATAACAGTTCAAAAGCATGTAAAAATGCAAGTAGAAAAATTAGGAACCCCCTTTGCTGGGAAGGTAACAGCGTTCTGTGCATCTTTGGCATTTAGTTATGACCATGGAGACATCTTCGGACAGTGCTAGCCCTTTGACTTTGAAACGGAGATGAGCACCGCCCCCTAGAGTCAGGAATGACTAGCACATATGTGGGAGAGGAACCTTTAACTTTACCTACCTGCATTTTGAAATAATAGTGCTAGCCAATAGCAAATATATATTTACTTTTTCCTTGTTTGTTTTATTATTATTTTACTTTAGGCTACTAAAGTAGCCCCATTGCAAAATAGGCAGGAAATAAAATTGATGATTGTGATGACGACAAATCCAGTCTGAACATCTAGCTGACTATAGGATGAACCATAATAATAACATATGCCAAATGACCAGTTCCAAATGACTGTCTGTGCTAACGAACTTTACGTCAGCTGAAACTTCCAAATACTCTTCAAAGGCAGCCCGATATAGAGTATATTACTGTAGTCCAGTCAGAAAGTGACTAAGGCATTGTGAACATCTCAGTCCAGGAAAAAGGTGCAATTGGCACACAACATAAAGCTGTCTGACTATAGCTACTATTTTTTGTTTGAACAGAAAAGGAGTCCTGGTGGATCTTCTCAAACTGTTCTATCTGGGGCAGTGCAACCCCATTCAGATCAAAAGATGGGAAGTTCTCAGAACCAGGGATATTTGTTGATATATCATGCCAAAGCTCAGCAATAAATCTCAGATCTCCAAACTCTTAGTTTTGTTATTATTTTCTTATTATTACTCTTATTTTCATATAACAAGAAAGAAGAAGCATGTTCCCATTTTTAGCAGCACTCATTCCTTGTAGCAGATCCTTTAACATCCAATGCAGTATTGTTCCAGAAGCATTTGTACATCTTAAAATTTCTCTATCTGTAATGTTATTAGTAAATGTTCTATCAAGTTGCACAAATTCATCTACTTGCTCTGATTTTTTCCCATTTATATAATATTTCTAGTTGTTAACTCTGTTCCCTTTTCAAAGCATCTTTTATTCGTTAATTTTCATATTTATTCAACCTTTCTAATGCTTTCTGCACATTGTTAAGCTTGTCAGCCAACAGCACAGTACCATCTGTATTCAAATGTATAGGCACATTTGTGGTCCCAACTAGCACTTCTCAAGTGACATCCCAGGGTTTCCCTTTATCCATAAATAGATTTAACAGTGAAAGGAAACATCTCATATCCTTAATCTTCTCCGTACTCACTGAACTATTTCATTTATTCTCACACATTCTTTATTTCAATTGTATAATGCTTTTAACATATTCACCAACAAGGCGTAATATTTGTGCAAAACATCCCATTATTCTAGCCTATTAACTTCATCATATTAACTTCCCAAAACAAATGTACAATAAGCTTTCTTTCCCACATTTATACATTTCTCAGTGAACCACTAAATCTAGTCTGCACATCCCTTGCCGGATATAAAGCTTCATTGCACTTCCCAAATTTTGCTCATCATTACCTATTATATATTTTTAATTACAATTCTGTTGGACATGTTCCCGAGCAAGCTTAACAAACTTGTGTAGATCTTCCAGCACGGTTAATAGGAACCCAAAACCATGCATCATTTAGCACCTGCATTACAACAAATATGGTTGACACAAATGACTGTTTTTTAAGAATGCATGGGTTGGCTCTAATCTGATACAAATCATCAGTCCAATTCAGATTACTGACCTGACATAATGCAACTATGGAGATCTATTCAAAGGCAGTTAATTTGAAAATAATTGAGTTTGGCAATTCAGTTGTATTAGCCATGAATCAAAAAACTAAATAAAACTTCTCACAGTAATACTCTTTACAGTTATAATAATTCAGCAACTGATTTTAAAATGTGATGTATATCATTTAAAATTTAAACAGCGATATTATTGATTAAAATCTCAACTTTTAGCAACATGGATAGATTTTCTGCACTTTTAGGTCTCTTAATGATGCAGTCATTGGTGTCCTAATAGAATTTATCCAACATACTGCTTGCTATTCTTTTCTTCTTTTTAACTGTTCCAAGCATTATGGACTTAGAGAATTATGTCTCCACACAGTGTGTCCAAAATAATATAGATGAAGCTATATAATATTTAAATAACTTGAGCAAAAATTCTGGCTTGATTTGTTCAAAAATTAATTTGTTTATTTTCCTGGTTATATGTGATATTATTTAAAGTCTTCTCTGGCAAGAGTTCAAATAACATATCAGTAAATGAAATAGTTGAACTTTATCATTATGCTTCCTAAAAAGAAATTATTTCATTCTTTTCCTTACCTTAATTGTTTCCCACCAGTGTTCAGTGTGGACTGTAGTACAGTGGAATGCCCTCCGGTCCAACAAGTTGCCTGTCCTTTGGATAGCTATGAAACTCAAGTCAGGCTGACAGCTGATGGATGCTGCACTCTTCCCACAAGGTTTGTTATATCTGAAGTCATAGTATCACAGTCAATATATACTGAGGCTAAATTTGTGACAGAAAAAGTCAAGTATATTAGTATACTGATTATTAAGTTACTATGTTAGCTAATATTGGATTTAAAATGAAGATTTCCTAGACTGAATAATCATTCTGTGAAGTGTTAGTGACTGTTAGCTCTGGAATAGCTTTCTTTCAGTCCTGTATTTTGAGGAAAATTTATTTTGAAAAAACAAAAATACAGCTTTAATATGAAACTTTGTGGCATATATAAATATGTGTCAAGTTTGATACTTCAGATTACTCTAACATCTTTGAAGTATTATGTTGGCTTATCTTAGTAGAAAGATGTATTTGCAGCAAATCCTATATGTCAAGAAACTATATATGTTTTTTTTAGATTAACAGCTGTAAGATATAATATTACTCAAATATAGCATTTCACTTTAGAAATAGTGTGCTCTCTGTGTGACAGATTATTTAGGTACCACTTCAACCATTTGTGGGGTGAAAAGATAATCAGGAATCTTGAAACTGTTCTAGAAACTGGTCTCTGAAATATATGGTTGTCCCAATATTCTTCCTGCCTTTAGCCCTGTTATAGACTCGTAGATTATTCTTAAGTAGAGCTTTGCTAGTACATTTTTTATAGGGAAAAATGTAAGACTGGCTTCTACTGTACAATAATCCTCTATCCCTGCTTCTGTCCTTGTAGTCAAGATGAAGACTTTGTCATCATGAACCTGTGCATACTTAAAGAATAAAGTATTAACAGAGCTCTGAATTCATCACAATTTATTACCCTTGTTTCATTTCATCTAAATGATTTTAAAACTTCAGCCTGGGTTCATAACTGAGAAACATATTTTTATATATAAATAAAATGAGGTATATTCTATCTTGCTGAGTTTCTTTAAAAAAAAAATCCGATGTGCCTTTATTTCAAAATCCAGTAATGTATGAAGTTGCTTCCATTTAGCAATAGCACTAGCACATATACCACTTCACAGTGCTTTACAGCCCTCTCCAAGTGGTTTACAGAGTCAGCATATTGCCCCCCAAAATCTGGGATCTGATTTTGCTGACCTTGGAAGGATGGAATGCTGAGTCAACCTTGAGCTGGTGCAAATCAAACTGCTGGCAGTCAGCAGAATTAGCCTGCAATACTGCATTCTAACCACTGCACCACCACAGGTCCTTAAGATTTATAATATCTTAAGTTGTTTTCAATATATAACCTATATTAATTATCAGTTATTATCATACAGTTTGGTGTTATTTTCAGAGAGCTGCTTTGGTGCACATCCCAAAAAAGAAAAAAATGCTTCTCTCTGATAATTCAGTACCCTTTCTATTAATATTTTTATTTCCTCCAGTGTTGTCTGTATATGTTAGGTGGTATTCTAAAAACTGGAAAGATATCTGCTTGAAAGATGTATTAATCATTCCATGAATTTCATAAATCTACTTGTGTTCCTTTTCTGTAAACTTTTAAATAACATGCAAAGAGCATTAAAAATCTGATATACATCATTTATCATACTTTTTGAAGTAACATATTTTATTAGATCAGTATAAATAGTCTTGCTCTTGATGGCACATTTCAGCTCCACTGATATAGTAAGCTATAATTTAGGATCAGCTTTAGCTTGAATAATTTTCATTTAACTTGTTGTCTTTTGTTTTCCAAAACACAAATTCCAGAAATGTCTGGAGATTGGACAATTAATTGCTAATATTAAATATTAATTTATTTCATTCCGATTAATAAAATGCTAAGCGCATTGCCATTTCCTATGATATTGTTGTACTATTCTTCTATTTTTACTACAATGTTATTGTTCAATTAACTATAGAACATGTTATATCTGTTCCTACCTATGCTTTATTTAATCTAAACTGTATTATTGATTTCTCAGCTGACAATATTGGTAGGACTTTCATATGATACAAGTTGAACAAGAATGTCTAGAACAAAGTTTTGATAATGTAGAACTGTATAAGATAACTTGAACACATTCTGCACAATATTATTGTGGATATTTTTAAATGGAAATATTGATAATCCATTTTTTGGCATGTAATGAAATTAGATCTTTCTTTTGCTCACAAAGCAGAAGCCAATTGTAAGGGGGAACCAGGCTATCCCACCACGCTGATATACTGCATGTCATGTAGTAAGGCTCCTGAAATAGAGACTGGATTTATTTGTGCATACGAAAATAACTAGAACTATAATTCTTAGATTCTTGGCAGAAAACATAAAGAAAATCCTCTGTGGGGCACAGTGGTAATTGAGGGAGTCAGAAGAAAGGGAAGTCAGGTTGATAGCAACAGTATCTCAACACTAATCCTATCTTTTTCTATGTGTCTCACAATGTCACATGCTCCAAAGACGCAGAGTTTAATTCACAAAGCCATTTCAGTCATTCTAATGAAATTGCTAAGTTGCTGTGGATGTGCTAGCTGGCCTTCAGGTATAAACAGACTTTGTGCTGACATCTCTAAATAGTATTGTATTTGTGACAATATTGCTATGAAATGCTGATTGATGAGGTTTGAGGCTCAGCAGGCAGGATATTGCATATTTAGCCATAATTGCGAGCGTTATTGCATTGGATTAGGTTTATCCTCAGCACAATCATTTTTCACGCCCCATTTCTTAATAGTTCTGGCCATTTAGAGGTCTTTTTGACCAGAAAGATTTCAAGAATTTAAATTAATATTGTGGAAAGTGCCCAGTCATCAAGCTTAAATTAATTACAAATTATTAGCATGGTAAATATGAATTTCCTTATTAAATATAGGAGGAAAAAAAGGTTAATCCACTTCCATAGATAAATGGCCTCCCCCTGTATTTAAAAAAAAATAATGGTCACTTTAATCCTCATCTTTAGTTTTAGGCAATACAAGTCTGTTTCTTCAAATTTGTTTACAGGATTTTTCATTCTGCTAAATTAAAGGATTTGAAAAGGAATTTGTAAATATTTAAGCAACCACTGACATATGCTTTTTCTTTCTAATGCTACCTTGGCTACCTGTATCAAAACTCTCAACCTAAATATTTTTTATTAGTAGATTAAATCTTGACAGTTTAAAGTTAGTTATACAAACACGTTATGTTGAAAAAAGAAACTGTCCAGAAAACGTCTGGGAGTATAGAAGCTTACAAATCTATGCAATTTCCCATGCTGAACAGTCTTACGCAATTTAAAGTATAAATGGTAGAGAAATTTGATAGGTATGTTGATGATGTAATTGGAAACAGTAGGAGGAATAGATAACTTGATGACCTCTCCTACCTTATTATGCATTTCATGTCCTTTAAACCTAGAACCTGCTAGTGGGACTAAACTGACTGATTTCGAGAACCGTGCTTGTTTCATTTTTTTTACTATAGTGCTTTTCCCAACAACTGTAGATACTAAAACATTAGTGACTTTTTAACACATTTTGGTCTCCCCGGGCTACAATGGGATTTGGAACACCAGTCTTCAGATAAAAGTTGAGCATTGTCCTTTGAACATTCTTTTTTTAAATTGTGTTGTGTTGATAACAGTCATGTTGTCCTTTTATTATGTAACAGGAAAACCATTTGGCTTTCACAATTTGCTTTTTTTCCGTTTGTTTTTCCCATCCCATGTGTTGCTTCACTTATTTATGGAGCTTTCAATGCTTCGGTTTCAGGTGCGAATGTCTCTCAGGTTTATGTGGTGTTGCAAAATGCGAGCCAGGCTTCATCCCCCAAATAGTGTCACGTGGAGACGGAACACCTGGCAAGTGCTGTGATGTCTTTGAATGTGTCAATGGTATGTTATGTTGACAGTGTATTTGGACTAAACATTTTGAGATACTAGTATATGAATAATATTGATATCTTCCTTACTATGCAGCAAACAAGTAAAAAATTATGTCTAAAAATGTAATAGGTCCATTTTCCTCTCATAAAATTTATGTTGCAAATCTTTTGTACATAGGTTAAAAACCAACATTTGCATTACTGTATGTTCATTTCTTTACTTCATATGAACTCATGGACTTTAGTTTGCTTATAAACTCAAAATAGTGTATTCTGAGGAGCATGCTGACACATATGATTGGAGTTTTGAAAAAGTATCCTGCCTGTAGTTTCAGCTAAAAGAATAAGCCACAGGGAAGGGTGTGGGGAACAAAAAGTTTTAACTAAAAGATTTGTGTTTTTGTGTTGTGACATGAGTCAGATCTTGCAACTACTGATACAGATCTTTCTGTGGGATTGTTTCCTGTATACTCTGGTTAAAGCTCCTGGAATGCTTCCTGAGGCAGGAGACATCACCTCTGCCTCTTTCTTAGGAAGAGATCGTTTTAAAATATTAAACAGTATTTCAGACAAGTTTTGTTTTAGCAGATGTCAGTAATCACTTAATATGTATTTATCAAAGTGGCTAAAAAATATAAATGTATTTTCAAACTACAAAGCTTTAGCTAAAGAGTTCCATATAGTGCATTCTATTCCACAGTAGCTGAAGAGAGCAGAAATCAGAAATTGTTTTGTCTTTGTTTTTATACCTGTGTTTCTGTTTGTACATACATATTTATACGCACACACTGTGCACATGCCCATATACTTTCTGATTTGCCACAGATGGAGGGCAAGCTGTCCCATTTTAATGTACAGGTAATCTTTGCTTACAGATCACATTTGAAAACGGCAAATCTGTTGCTAAGTGCCAAGTTGCCAGGTGGAAAATCACATAATCACAATAGTCTTAAAGCCTCATTTTGAATTCAATCATTAAGTGAAACATCACATGGCTATAACTTGTGATTTTATTCTCACCTTCTCCATTTAACTGTTTGTGTCAGCCAGTTGCAAAGCAAACAAATAGCAATCATGTGACCATGGGACATTCTAGTGGTCATGAATGCAAAGATTAGTTGCAACTCTTTTTTTATACCAGTGTAACTTTGAATGGTTGCTGAATGAGGCAGTCGATAAAAAAGGACCATTTGAATAATCATTCCAAAATGGGCTTATCAGAAAATGAGAACATATGCATGTGAAGGTCTCCCAACATTCCCACTTAATGCCTCTTGCTGTAGAGAAAATAGTTTATTGTGAAATTAATTAAAATGATAATGTGAATAAGTAGAAATAGTGACATCACATTTTAATAGAATTTATTATCCGCAAAATGGAGTTGCTATGTAAAATTACTATTAAGACCCAAAATGCTTTTGCAAATGCTCATCCTTTATGTCAGTATAGCATGGTGAATAGCAAGTAAAATTGGATTTATGGTAATCTTATCGGTAATCCTGGGCAAAGAAAATTATTCCAATATTAATGAAATTATAGCGTCAGTTTGGGTTAGTAGTTAAGACACCAGGCTAGAAACCACAAGACTGTGACTTGAAGGCATATCATCACGGTCATCATCAATGAAATTATAAACTGTACAAGCATCAATACTGAATATCTTTAAATCCATAAAAGGTATTTAAATTTTAAAAGTAATTTAAAATCATTTAATCAATTATTAATAACATTCATTAGATGCAAATATAATTTATGCAAGCAATTAGTTCTAGATTATAAACTGAAACATCTTACATTTTTAAAAGCATTATGCTACTAATCACCTCAAAGCTGTCTTTTTTATTTGTATCAAAAACTATTACTTTATTGGAATATAATATACACAGGAAAATAAAAATAGTGGGAAATTAGGGGAGGGAAAAGGGGATATGAGAAAATGTGGAGTAGAAAGGGAAAAAGAAAGTTTTGGCTTCCAGCTCTTTTTAGCACAGTAGAAAATAATCATATTACAACATAAACTTTTTACTTTTATATAATAATATATATTATAATAAAGGCTGTCTTGAGTATAAGACTTCAGAAGAGAAAAAATTAAAGCATACTACACTGACTATTGTTAAATCATACAATATTTAAAATACTATTCAAAATGCTGCATAATTTTTTCAGAGCACATAAGCATTAATATAACTATACAAAGAAGTAGATAGCTATAGATGAACCGATGCAGTGTTTTTTGTCTGACTCTTTTAAAGCTGCCCCAGAAGTATCTCTGTAATTTCTTGGTGTAATAACAATAGTAAAGAAAGTAGTTAAAGAAATGATAGTAAAGAAATCAGTTATAGTCCAGGATTTTTTTATTAATTAATAGTAATTCCATTGGTATGATATTTGACTATAGAACAGATGTAACACCTGTAAATAGCAAGTTTATTTAAATTTCTTTTCCTATTTTTTGCTGTAACTAGTTCTAATAGGAATGTTTTTTAAACAAAATTGCAGTACTAATCTAAGAAAGCAAACTGATGGTACAACAAGCTCAAGCTGTGCATTTTCCATTGTATTCTGGTACTACTAAATACTTTGTCCTTTTTTGATCATTTATTTGTAGTTTGTATAATATTGTCAATCAGAGCCTCTAATTGGATTACAACCAGTATTTATGAAATGATTAAAAAAATGGGTATTGTAATGCTGGGCCCATAGGCAATCGTTATATGTATTCTTCTGTCTTTGAATTGTGGGAAACAATAGGTAGTATGTTACCATATTTTGACATTTTTCCTGCAACTATATTTGTCTTGTCCTTATGACCCTTAAAGAAAAAAGTCTATTTGCACAATTAAAGATTTTATGCTGTATTTGATATGAAGGCAAGGTGTGTACAAGCCTGGCTGTTCATGTTACCTTAGAAATTATGAGTCTAATAATGTTATAACTTGTAAGATCAGTTCCCAATCTCATTGCATAAAAATATAAAAGTAATAGTCGTCATCCAAAGAGGACCATGCTCTACACCTGAGGGCAAAAACACAATAAAAATAAATATTACAGTTAGCTGACCTTCTTGAGATCCTCAAACCTGCTCGAGTTTAACAGCTGAACTGTTCAGGCCACTCTTGTGTATTCCCCTCTATCATCAAGCTAAATTTGGAGAAATAATGGCACAGATTTCCATTACCCTCACCTTTCATTATAGAAAATATAAGTAGGGAAAGTTAGTCAATTACACTGAATATCTACTTCCAACTATTAATTATTAATAAAGAAGGCAAGGAATGTGGTACCTGTTGTATTTCTGTTTCCTGGCCAGTTGGAAATATTTTTGTGATAATAGTTGTATGATTTAGGCTTTGCAAGATATGCTATTGTACTATGCATACTGTACTTTATGGCATACTCTGATGTGTAAATACAGCCAATGATAGATTTTTCAATAAACCTTTCCCTTCCTGGAAAAAAAAAGCATAGCAAAATTCATAGATTTATTAATTACTATTGATCATCCATTCCTTTACAAGCACTACAAGTGCCATAAAATCTTTTTCTTATACAATGAAGATGCTCTGAGAAAGAATTGGATATAATCAACATTGATTAGTTGTTGTTATATATTTAAATGGAAAATACCCCAGAATCTCTGAAACCAAAAATCCAGTTTAACAGATATACTGATTCTTGTCTGAATTAAGACTAGCTAATTGCACAAAACTCAATTTCAGGAACAAAGCCTTCTAGTGTTTAATGTTGTGCAACATCTCCATGAAAAATACCTTTTCCTTTTTTGCTATTTTTAGAAGTGAAGCCAGCGTGTATATTTAATAGCGTGGAATATAAAGATGGAGACATGTTCCGAATGGACACTTGTCGGTTTTGTCAATGCCAAGGTGGTGTATCTATTTGTTTCTCCGCACAATGTGGCGAGCTACACTGCGATAGATACTATGTACCCGAAGGAGAGTGCTGTCCAGTATGCGAAGGTAATTTCTTTTGTCGCTTGGCTTCAGGAATTGATGAACATTAAAAGCTAAATATAATATTTTATAGCAATAGTTAAAAGTTGATATGAAAGAAACTTGACATTGATCCAACTTAAATGATCCAAATAAATTGGTTATTTATATATTTAATACATTTACAGTATTTTTCAGAGTATAAGATGCATCAGAGTATAAGACGCACCAAGGTTTTGAAGAGGCAATTTTTTTAAAAAAGTANCAGAGTATAAGACGCACCAAGGTTTTGAAGAGGCAATTTTTTAAAAAAGTAGGTAGGTAGGTAAAGGGATAGAGAGGGAGAGAAAGAGAGAGAAAACAGAGGTAGGTAGGGAGAGAGAGAAAGAGAGTAGTTAAGTAGGTAGGTAGATAAAGGGAGAGAGGGGGGTAAGTAGGTAGAGGGATAGAGAGAGAGAAATAGAGAGAGACAGAGAGAAAGAGAAATACAGTAGATAGGTAGAGGGAGAGAGAGAGAAAGAGAGTAGGTGGGTAGGTAGGTAAAGGGATAGAGAGAGAGAGAGAAATAGATAAGGAGAAATACAGTAGGTAGGTAGGGAGAGAGAGAGAAAGAGAGTAGGTGGGTAGGTAGGTAAAGGGATAGAGAGAGAGAGAGAAATAGATAGAAATACAGTAGGTAGGTAGGGAGAGAGAGTAGGTAGGTAGGTAGGTAGGTAGGTAGGTAGGTAGGTAGGTAAAGGGATAGAGATAGAGAGAGAGGGAGAAAGAGAAATACAGGAGGGAGGGAGGGAGTAGGTGGGTAGGTAGGTAAAGGGATAGAGAGGGAGAAATACGGTAGGTAGTGAGAGTGTTTGTGTGTGGGTAGGTAGGTAGGGGGGTAGAGAGAGAGAAATGGAGAGAGAGAAATACAGTATATAGATAGGGAAAGAGAATAGGTAGGTAGGTAGGTAAAGGGAGAGAGAGAGAGAGAAATACAGTTGGTTGGTAGGTAGGGAGTGTGTGTGTGTAGGTAGGTAGGTAGAGGGATAGAGAGAGAGAAATAGAGATAGAGAGAAATACAATAAATAGATCGGTATTTCTGCTGGCAATTGATTAATTCTCATCAATCAGCTTTCCAAAAGGGAGAATAAAAGTTTTTGCACTCTGCAAACCTCCTCAAAACAACCTGTTTTTCACTAAAACGGGTCTGTTTTGTTTTTTAAAAAAAGGCATGAATAGCCTTGGGGGGGGGGCTTGCAGAGTGCTCCAGGGGGTGGGGGAGTGAGCAAAAAAGGCCTGTTTTTCGCAAAAAAAATTGCATGCATAGCCTTATGGAGGCTTATAAGTGCTGCTGAGGGCTGTGGGGACCAAAAAACGGCCCGTTTTTTGCTCTTTTCTGCCCTCCCCAGCCCCCAGGAGCTCTGTGAAAGTCTCCATAAGGCTATGCCTGGCCATTTTGATGAAGGGGCGTGGAGGCAAAAAATGCTATATTCAATATATAAGATGCACCAAGATTTTCAGCCTCTTTTTTGAGGAAAAAAGGTGTGTCTTATACTCCAAAAAATACAGTATATGTAAATGTATATGCACTATTGTCATTATGCACAACTCTGATTAATAGTGCAAGGTTAATTGTAATTTGATATAATCTCCTTTGCTCAAAACACATTTCCAATAAAATCATATTTCTGTTATTTTCCTATGAAAATAGACTACATCACGTTAGGTACTACAAATAATTAATTGTCATAGCATTCAGAAGAAGTTTTTTTGACAGCTTTAAAGTACAGGTAGCTGTCAATTTACGATCACAATTGAGTCCAATTGAGACTTTTATTAAGTGACTTTTGCCCCAGTTGTTAAGGTTATCATTGCAGTTGTTAAGTGAATCTGGCTTCCCTATTGACTTTGCTTGTCATAAGGTCCCAAAAGGTGACCCCAGGACACTGCAACTGTGATAAATATGAATCAGTTCCAAGCGCCTGAATTTCGACATTGTGACCATGGGAATGTTGCAATGGTTGTAAGTGTGGAAAACGGTCATAAGTCACTTTTTTTCAGTTCCATTCTAATTTCGAATGGTCACTAAACGAACTGTTGTAAGTCAACAACTGCCTGTACATAGCCTTGAGTTGATGAATTCTGAGAACTTCAACCCATTGTTACAAATATGGAATATTCATTAATCATTGTAGCTGGATTAAACTATTTAAGCTTTGTTTAATTTGCTTGTTTGCTTTCAGATTCCATTTCCCCAATTAGCAACCCTGCAGGATGTTATGCTAATAGTCAGATTCAAGCGCATGGTGACCGCTGGAGGGAAGATGATTGTACTTTCTGTCAGTGCATCAATGGAGAGTCCCATTGTGTGGCCACAGCCTGTGGACAAAGTTGCTTGAACCCTGTAAAGGTTCCAGGAGAATGTTGCCCAATGTGTGAAGGTCAGACATGAAAAAAATTAATTATCTGTCTTTTGGTGGGGAAGGATGGATAGCTTTGATTATAGTGTTCCTATTTTTAAAAACATAACAAAAGCCCTTCCCTTATCTAATAACAGAAGAACGTGTGCCATCAGCTTTAACTGCAATGAATAGAACTTGTTTTGGAGCAGAGTAAGGTTTTGTATGACTGCATTAGACATTAGATAATACAGGCTGCTGCCGTATTATCTGCAAAACAAAGGGGGGAGACATGACATTCTTTGAAAAATCTCTACATCTGTAATTAATTTACAGATTTACAGAGCATTTCTTTGTGCCAGTTTTCACTATATAGTCATTCTTTCTCACTTGGTAGAGTTTCAGACCCACTTTATTATTCAAACTTTTTTTCATTTTGATCTACAGCTTTCATGGAATGGGTGATGATAATACATTGTCATGTGGGTCAGTCAGATATAATCAGATAGCAGCTCTGTCTTCCTCCTGCCTTATTTGTAGCGCTCAAGCTATAACTATATCTTCAGAAACCATTCAAACTTACAGCGGTCCTGATTATGTTTGGTTCTCAGAATGGCAGCCATCTCAGTACCTTCTACAATCATGTGATCACAGTCTGGCTGCTTGGCAAAGTGTTCACCCTTATGACTGGTTAACAAATGCCTTGCAATCACGTAATCACCATTTACAACTTTTCTTGCCTTGTGTACTCTGTGTCAGGTGCATCTCCTATACCCTTCCCGATCTCCACAGTGCCATACACATTCCCCTGCACACTATTCAGGACTGCCCTCTCACACCATCTCCAACCCTCCCCAATTACTCACACACCTCTCCTATACCCCCTTAAGTCCTTCTCCATCCACTTACCTGGGATTTTCTTATTTCCTGCTGGCTTCCCCACTGACTTTGATTGTGGGAAGTCAGCAGGAAATTGCTTTACCTAAACACCAGGGGAGTGTGTGTGTGTGTGAGAGAGAGAGAGAGAGAAATTGAGAGATTTATATGCTGCCCATTTCAGTATCAAGCAGCTCTGGACAATGGCAACCGGGCTTGCAGGGATTGTCATTATTAAGTGATGTGGTTTTTACCAATGGAAATTCCTTTCTCAATTGCTGCTGTAAATCAAGGATTATCTATAGTAGGTCTTTTGGATCTTAGATACTAGTCGGGTTGGATACTCGTGCTTCACTACAGAACCATGTGATCAGGCTAGATAAATTGACAGTTAAAGCTTGAACATTAATGAGTAGTTATGATTGGCCTCCCCTCTCCCCTTCTTTCCCTCAGGTATGTCCCACAGAAGCTTCTCCTATCCCCTTTGGCCCCATTGATCCTTTCCTATCCCCTTCTCTCCCTCAGGTTTACCCCACAGAGACCCCACCTATCTTATCACTTTCTCTCCCTCAGGTTTTCTCCACAGAAACCCCAGTTATCTTATCCCCTTCTCTCCTTCAGGCTTGCTCCACAGAAGCCTCTTCTATGTTATCCCCTTCTCTCCCTTTGGGGAGGTGGGGAGGGGGAGTAGAACTTCTAACTCCTTACCATTAGAGTATGCTAATAATAATAATAATATAAGAAATACTAATGATCTGATGGTAATTTCAAAAAAATCTTTCTTAGCAAGCACCTAGAAAACAAGAGGAACATACGTGCCAAATTTTAAGTTTGTAGGCTTTATGGTTCTGGAGATTTCATGATTATGCATGAGTGGTATTTCACTTTTATATATATAGAGTAGCTGAATGCCTGTGCTCCACTACGAAACTATTTGATCGGGCTTGATAAATCGACACTTACAGCTTGAAAATTAATGAGTAGTTACCATCGACCTCTCCTTTCCCCTTCTCTCCCTCAGGCTTGCCCCACAAAAGCCCCATCTATCATATCACCTCCTCTCCCTCAAGTTTGCCCCATTAAAGCTCCACCTATATTATCACCTTCTCTCCTTCAGGCTCCTGTCCAAACCCCCAGCCAGCAGGTCAGATAAGTCACATGCTGGCCATGCCCATGTTCAAATTTTCAGGTGGGGAGGGGGAGTAGAACGTCTATCTCCTTAGCATCAGAGCATGTTAATAATAATATATGGAATACTAATGCTCTGATGGTCATTTTGAAAAATCCTTAGTTACCGAGCACCTAAAAGCCAAGAGGAACATACGTGCCAAATTTCAAGTTTGTAGGCTTTAAGGTTCTGGAGATTTCATGATTCTGGTGTGAGTGTTTTTGCGTTTATATAGATAAATAGATGATAGATAGATGGATGGATGGATGGATGGATGGATGGATGATAGATAGATAGATAGATAGATAGATAGATAGATAGATAGATAGATAGATAGATANGATAGATAGATAGATAGATAGATAGATAGATAGATAGATAGATAGATAGATAGATAGATAGATAAGAAGTATCTAATAAGGCTAAATTGGCTTGTTTACAACTTCATTGTTAAACTATTAAGAAGTGTTCACAAACCCTGAAAGTGAACATAAGACTTTTTCTAACTTATCCCCCACATTTTCCTTTTTGTAGGCTTCAGAAAATACATATTTCAGTTTTCAAAACCATGCTTGAGTCTTACAGACAGAAATGCTGTTCTGCAGCTATTCAGTAACCCAGTATATGGAAGACTAGTGATGGATCATGAGTATTTTACAATTCTTTTAACCATAGAACTCCTTCCCTAACTAATATTTCTCATTGCCCATAACTTGTTACTTTGATTTCTTGCCTGAATGCTTAAGGGAAATTCATAGCAAATTGTGACTTGAGATGTAGCTCATTCATATGGTCTTACAATCTTATAGGCAATCAAATGTAGAGATTGGAATCCAGCAGTGTAGTTTTAAGATATATATCCCTTTTGAGAATGGCAAACCTGCTTTGTCCTTCATATTAAAAACTGGGATTCTGAATGGGCTCTTTCTTTTTAATAAAGAACAGGGTTCAACTAAACTTTCTTCAGAGATTTACTATATTCATATTTTTTTCTAAGAAAAGTTTCCAGAACCCTTTTTTGACCTCTTATGATTTTGTAAACTCCATACTTCTATTTATTCTGTAAAAGTTTAATTAAAAGATAAAGCTAAGCAATGTAGTTCTAAAATATTTGGTTGCTGCATTAGGAATTTGGACACAAGGAAGGAAATTCTCTGCATCTGAACTTGGAACTGGTATTTTTCATGTAATGAACTCAGGGAAAAGAAAAGCTGTCTGGAATGCTAACTATGAAGATGGAAAACATTTAGTCACCCTTGGAATGATATGAATGTTTTTCCAGGAAGCTTAAGTAAACGCATATTCTATAGCGCAGAAGGCAGTATTTAACTTTTTTTGGAAGATTGACAATGTTCCACAAAGAGCACGGAAGTTTAAAAAGATCATTAAAGATAGTTCTGTCAGAGGCAAACAAACTATTGAGTTAACTAAATATTTCTGTTTATTTTGAGGCATTTGACTTCATTTTTAAATAATGCAAAAATATTTTAGAAATGTTAAAGAAACATTTACAACTATAGCGTACATTTAATGTTACCCTCTATAAAAATAATGTCTTGTACAAGGATATATTCCACTTTTTGACTGTGTTGTATATCCTGCTGCACTACCAAGAATTGCTTTTCATGACTTTGGAAGAATGAACAGACACTAGGATTTGGCCTATTTACCATTTTAAACCACAAAACCAGCTAAGGGTTGGTCTTACAATATATTCTTAATTTTAAGCACCCCTTAATAATTATATTTTACTTCATAAACATAAATTATATAAATTACTTTTGACTTCCCCTGCCAAAAACTTTCTGTTCTTTTCCTTCTCATGAACAGAAATAATTGTTAGGGAATGTAAAAGGCTGTGGGAGTCACTTAATAACTTTCCAGATGTCTGAAAAATGAATACATGTCTGTTTATGTATGACTTTTTTGCTTATCTGAATAAAAGAAATACCCTTAAAACTTGTACCTATAGTGGAAACACATTATTGTAGTTTCCATACTTAATGTAACACCAGAAAGCCTACCATAGAGTAGAGGAGAAAATTGATGAGATTTCCAGGATAATTCAGAGCCAAAATTTTGGTGACATTTGTACTGCAAACTTGCAAAATTTATAATCAGTGAAGCCAAATGGCAATATAATGGTCTTTCAAAGTTTTGCTTTGGATTACTGATTTGGGTGGGGTGGGGGGTAAAAGAAAAAGCTTGAGGAATGCTTTGCACTGTAGGCTGCATTTTATTTAGAGGTTCAAGTTGTATAGCTTGCAAATAATAATTCTGGTCACAGTACATTTATTATGCAAAACAGATTACCCAGATGCTTTTCCTGTGCAGTATTAGTTAAGAATCAGGTTCTGAAACAAGGTTGCCAAAGATAGAAGAAGCCAGTGAAAAATCAGCTGATGAAGTAGAGCGTAGGGACGCAGGAATTTCAGAAAAGAGAACTAGAAAAACATGAATCAGAAGAAAACCAATACATGAAAGAACCTTGATAAAAGAGATGAAATTTCTGCTTTCCCATTCATTTTACAATACATATTTTTGTTGCTATGCTCACAAAGGCACGTTCAGAGGAAACATAGATAAGTTTTGTACTAAGCTTTTTGAACAAACAGTAGTTGCTGCCTGCTCCATGATTTAATGTGAAATGAAATCTTCAGCTCAACTAAAAATCTTTTGTTCATATTGGATGACTTGAAGGAATGAAGGAGGACTTAATATTTTAGATTGGGTTTAAAATGAAGTGAAAGATAGGTCTCTCAAGCCTGGATTAGACTTCTCTATTACTGCACGTCAGGGAACGTATACGTCTATCATTTGCATAAGTGCATAGCTGTTACATTTATACATCTGCACATGTTAATGTTCTGGCTATGGGGCACTCAAACATCAAACCATAGAACAGGCTGTCAGATCAACCAATCAGCATGCACGATGCACACCTCCACACAACACGCAGTTGGGATTTAGGTATGCACATTTGCCTGTTTCTAACCGT